TTAACCTCAGAGGCTAGAGGTGGAGCCTGGACATCTTTGAAAGGAGGAAAACAAAGGATTCTGTTGCAGGTGGGCTACGGTTCATACTTTACAAAAGTGAAAAGTTAGCCACATGAAAACATGTGCCCAGAAATATTTTCCTTAAATATTTGAGGTTGAACATTAAGTATCACAGTGAAAAAATAAATAAATAAAAATGAAAAGTATTAAAAAATTGGCATTGTTTACCAAAACATGGTTTTTCTTTTCCTTTTTTGGAGGTATGTAAGGAAAGCTCATCACCAAGCTGTAGATGATGTCAACTCTTCTATTCCTAGCACATTTTTGACACGTAACCCTTTTATTTCACAACAAACATGCTGAGGCAATGTTCCTTTTCTTTTAAGAGCTGATGATTGTCAGTTAATTATATCACACATTGAAGGAAAATTAATAAGGAATGCATTCAGCTACAACTTGCATTTTCAGTATTATTATCACATAGGAGTACATTTCAAAAACTAATATTAGAATCTAGATGCTCGTAATGGAGTGTCTACTGTGAAAACCATGTGTAATTGTGTTCCTTAGACTGCATTGTAAGATTCATCCATCCTGTGGTGTCTGAGCTATGAGATAATAATACTTTTCTCTGTTAATGAGACACTTTCCTCAGTATGCTAGGTCTTTCTATTTTTCTTTCTTGAGAAAGCAGATGGGTGATTTATTTAAAATATGTCTTACAAGAGAATGATATATAAATTGGTTAAGCCTCACCTTTTTTCATAGTTGCCTTTACCTGCAGAATTATCTAACATAATAAAATGAGGGTAGACTCTAAATTAAAGATTGTTAAGGCAATGTTTCTTAAACTTTTTATGCATAAGAATAATATACTATTTATAATATGTTTATTAATATTCAGATTTTTGGGCCTCCATACCAATTTATTAAATCTTAAGTAAGGACTGAGAATTTACATTTTAACAAACATCCCAGTTTGTTAAAGACGGATGGACTGCCTTGTATACTTTGAGGATTTCTCCTCTTGGGAACTTTATAAAATAGCTTAGGGGAGGTAATTTTGAGTGGTATGTTTTAAGACCATTGCAGGAACTTACTTTGAACCTTAATTAAGGGGAGTTTAGCAGCTTAAAAGAAGCATTGCAAAGTTTTCCAAACATGGATTTCATATTTGTATGGCTATTGGGAATAAGTAAATCATTGTATTTCCTTTTGGAAAGCCATGTATTGGAAAGTCTGGCTTTTGGCAAGACCAGAAGTTATCAGGATATCCAAAACCCTGATGATAAAAGAACCAAAGGAGTAACCAAGTGTGACAGTGATCAATGGCACTGTGCCAGGCAGTGCTCTGAGCTTCTTATATGTATTAATGTAGTTAGCTTTACAAGTATCCTGTAAAGTATTGCTATTTGCTCATTTTACAAATGGGGAAACAGAGGCAGTGAGAAGTTAAGTAACTCATTCCCTTGTGAGAAACAGAGCCAGGCTTGTTCAGACCCTGAGCAGTCGAACTTGGGATCTGGGCCTCCACCACTGCACTATGCCACCAACAAAGGGCCGGTTCTCTGGGCAATTCATTTACCTTTCAACCAGACTAGGGGTTTTTTATATTAAGTACCTACAAAGACAAAGCAAAGAACTGCATGCCACTTCGAGCTTTTTGACCTACAGTTCCTAAAATTTCTAGAGAAGGCCAACATGAGAGAAAAAATAAAAGTAATAGCAAAGGCATTTACTTAAGTAGTTAAATTTTCTTGAACATTTGCTCTCAGAATAACTATAATCTTTTTGCTTGTATGAGTGCTTTACTTCTCTTAGAGTCTAGAGTAGACAGGAAATTTAGGGATCATTTGGCTCAACAGTAAGTATTTCTCTAATTAATGAATGAAAAGTTGGGCTCATTTTGCACATCTACAAGGATGTTCTGTAGGCGGATCAATCCAACAATTTGCATAACTATCCTTGGAATTATGGAGGGAATTTTAGAAGTGAGTTAAGTCTAGAGAGAGTAGATGTGCAGATGTGGTCCCATGTCAACCTCCAGGGAGGGTACACTGGGAAGACTGGGACCCCATGCCTGAGTGGGATGATCTATGTGCCTGGGCTTCAGCCTGAGAGTCTAGGATGAGTGGAGGATGGCTGCCCAAGTAGGGTGGACTTGCTTTGTACCAGTGGTTTCTTTATTAGTTTTCTGTTGCTGCTGTAACGAGTTACCACAACTTAGTGGCTTGAAACAACACCAATCTATAATCTTACAGCTCTTTGCATTGGAAGTCTGATGCAGATCTCACTGACTTAAAATCAAAGTGTCAGCAGTGCTGTGTTCCTTTTTGGAGGTTCTAGGGGAGAATCCTCTTCCTTGCTTTTTCCAGCTTGTAGAGGCTGCCTGTGTACCTTGGCTTGGGACTCTCTTTCTCCATTTTCAAAGCCAGCAATGGCAGGTTGAGTTGTTTTTGCATTTTATCACTCTGATTTCCTCTCCTATATCCTTCTTCCACTTCTAAGAGCCTTTATGGTTATGCTGGGCCCACTCAGATAATGGAAAGTGATCTTCCTTTTTTAAGGCCAGCTCATTAGCAACTCTAATTCCATCTGCAACCTTAAATTCCCCTTTGCCATGTAACCTAACATATTCATAGGCTCTAGGGAGTTGGGCATGGACATGGACATGGATATTTTGCAGAGATCTTGATTCTTCCTACCACAGCTTCCTAAAGAGTAAGGCGATTAGGGAGAAGGGATGTATTCCAGGATGTAGGGTTCAGTCATCCAGGACTGGCTGGATCACTTGGAAGGAAAGCCTCCTGCTCCTGTTCTTGGCAGTTGCAGATTCTGGCAGAGGCTGGTGGAGGGAGTGTGAGCTGGTTGGCAGAATGAAGATGGAGAGACAGTCATACCTGGAAATGCTGACAGATTCTTGTTGACTGAGAATGCCTCACCTTCTATGCACTGACTTCATTGAGTTGTTTCTAATGGTTTTAGAGAAAGAAGGTACTAAGGATTTTTCTCTTGTAGAAGGAAAAACCAAGTCCCTCACCAGCTCAGGCATAGGACAGGTAGGGAGGAACACTTACAGAATTGGAATCCTAGGTAAAAGAGGTAGAAACATGAGCCACATATGTCTTTGATTGAAACTGAGCCTACCTACCTTTCCCCTTCCCTCCCTCCCTTCCTTTCAGTTTTCGAATTTGTGCTGTTGATGTGTTTTGGGAAGGTATTATTACATAAGCACTGCTATTATCTAAACAGGTTGTGTGTCCGTAGGGTCAGAATTGGGTTCATTCTAATAGAAAACATCACTAATTAATAAGAGCAAAATTTCAGTCACATTTTTAAACTTTATCCTACCAATTAAGAGCTAAAGCATTAAGTGAAAAAGAGCATGATTTGCAGAGTGGGGGAGGTAATACAGAATCTACTTAAAAAAAATTATACAGTTGAATGTTGGAGGTCTTTGTTTTATAAGTTAAGCAAAGTGGAAGTCGTATATTTGGACCCAAGAGAAGAATCACATGACCTCCTGAGTGAAAAGAAGACCACAAGTCATTAGTCATCTAGTTGATATTATTTAAATCACGCAAAATGCCGCCTGTATATAGTTACAGGACTTTCCATTTGTTCTCCAAAGCAGACTAGACTTGCCTTAGGTCAGTTTATGTGCTTACCTAATTCCTGTTGTTTGGGTGTCTGCATGGACAGGAAGATCGAAATAGTTGGGGACTTGCCTGACACAAAGCCGAAGCTATTGGAAAGAGTGCTTTGAACTGAGGCATCATGGGCCCCATGTGGTGAAGAGGAAGCCACAAAAAGCATCAGAACATAAAAATATAGGTCATATCTGCCACCCTGGGCACAGAGGGTGCGCCTTCTTGCCACCAAGAGCCTGGGAAGGAGGCCGGAAGGATATACATCAGGAGATACATTACTGTTGACTACAAAAGGTAGACATTTTTGTGTCTTTGACTCTTTTTTCTCCCAGTAGAGGTACCTCTCATCTCCTGCACTGGATGGGGGGGGCATTGGGTGGAGGGGGTGCTGGTGGTGGGGAGGTTGTCAACAGACTTCCTCTGGAGAACTGCATAGATTTTTCAATCGTTTTTGAAGGTTCTTTGTATAAAAACAAAACAGAAACAAAACTTTAGTATGCAAAGCATTGAACTTTTAGCGAGTCTCTTGTCAAAATGAGCTTATTTGAGCGCAAAGTAAAATGGCAAAGTTTAAAGGAGGAGTGGCAACCTGATGAAAATAACCAGAAATAGCCATTCAGCAGGAGGAATGTCTTCTTAAATTCTCTTTATTTATCTCAGTTCTTCCAATTTGCCTGGCTCTAGGTGTCTTAAGTATGTTCCAAGAGGAGCTTTACCTAAGGGCACTCAGTGTTTACAAAGCAGGGAGATTTTTCTTAAATACTGGCACTCTGTCCTTTCCCCTAAAGTCCCACTTCTGCTATTTGACTACTTTTTGCTTAACAGTCACACAACCTCAGGCTTCCTTTGCTCATGTGTCCTCCAGCTCCATCTCTATGTTTCCTTCCCTCATAGGGTGACTTTGCCCTTCTTCTGAGTCCTTGATGCTCCCCAGAGCTCCTCCTTGGTAAATCATCTAAGCCTTGCAGACTCATGCCCCTATGCATGAAAGAAATCAGAAATAGAAAGAAGATTATTATTTGTATCCATGGCAATCCAAAACAGTAAACCCATCTGATAGTACTAAACTTTTATTTATTTATTTATTTTGCAAGTTCCACCTGCTTTAGGTCAATCCAATCAAAATCAAAACTAGCGTTTGGCAGACTATGGCCCGAGGGTCAACTCCAGTTTACTGCCTATTGTACAGAATTGTTTTTACATTTCCAAACGGTTGAAAAAATCAAAAGAAGAATAATATTTTAAGATACATGAAAGTTATATGACATCCAAATTTTAGTGTCCAAAAATGAAGTTTTATTGGAACTCAGTTGCTCTCATTCATTTACGTATTGTTTAAAGCTGCTTTTGCTCTATTTTGGCAAAATTGGCTTGCAAAGCCTGAAATATTTACTATGTGGTCCTTTATAGAAAAGGTTTGCTAACTCTTGATTTAAATCCATTTTAAAATTTACGTATTAACTAGTCAGTTGTCCACTAGAGAGCAAGATTCTCAAGGGCAGAAATGCTATTTTGATCATTATTACAACCCTGGTGGTTAACACAGTGACTGACATGTAGCCGTTACTCAGTTGATATTTGTTGCAAAGATTTACAATGATGTAACTTATAGACAACTTTCAGAAACATACCTATTACATGATATCTGTTTTGGGAAGACTTACCAACCAGGCAAGAGGTGCATACTTTTGCTCCCTAGCTTTCCTCTTCCCTTATACATATTATGGAACATTTACACTTAGATTATAGTAAAACTTTTTAACTGGTTTTTAAAATTTGGAATATATTGAGTTTTCTGTAATTGGAGATTTTGTTTTTAAAATTATGTACTCTTCTCAGACGCTGTGTACTGGTTATCTATTGCTGTATGCAAACTACCATAAACCTGGTAATTTCAAATAAGCATTATAGCTCATGACCAGAAGGGGGTGGTCCTCTTTTTGTGCTTAGCGCAGCCATGGTTCATGGTCCCAAGAAGCATCTGAAGTGGGAAAGTGATTCAGTTCCAAAGCAGTGGATGCTGGATAAATTGACCTGTGTGTTTGCCCCTCACCCATCTACTGGTCCCCATAAGCTGAGATAGTGACTCCATCTCATCATTTTCCTAAGGAACAGGCTTAAGTATGCCCTAACAGGGGATGAAGTAAAGATCTGTTTGCAGTGTTTTATTAAGATTGATGGCAAGGTCAGAACTGATATAACCTACCCTGCTGGTTTTATGGATGTCATCAGCACTGACAAGATTGGGGAGAATTTCCATCTGATCTATGACACCAAGGGTCACTTTGCTGTTCATCGGATTACACCTGAGAAGGCCAAGTGTAAGTTGTGGAAAGTGAGAAAGATCTTTGTGGAGACAAAAGGAATCCCTCATCTGGTGATCCATGATGCTTGCACCATCCGCTGTCCTGATCCCCTCATCCAGGTGAGTGACACCATTCAGATTGATTTGGAGACTGGAAAGATTACTGATTTCATCAAGTTTGATACTGGTAAGTTCTATATGGTGACCAGAGGTGCTAACCTGGGAAGAATTGGTGTGATCATCAACAGAGAGAGACACCCTGGTTCTTTTGATGTAATTCACGTGAAAGATGCCAATGGCAACAGCTTTGCCACCCAGCTCTCCACAACATTTTTGTTATTGGCAAAGGCAAGAAACCATGGATTTCTCCTCCCTGTGGAAAGGGTATCCATCTCACCATTGCTGAAGAGAGAGACAAGAGACTGGTGGCCCAACAGACCAGACCCCAAGAGACCCCATCTCTTGAAGGAAAGAGTATCAAAGAAGTTTTGGCCTTTTTTGATCTGCCATAGGCTGCTTCTAGTTTGGTTTTTAACTTTAATAATTCCAGTTAAGTACAACAGCACCCCCCCCACCCCCCCACCCCCCCGCTGCATCCTCCTAACACATGATCTTTTTTCAGCTGTCTTTCAAGCTCTTATTTCCAAGCTCTGGAACTGTCAGGTGTCTAGGAAAGGAGAAGACCAGCTCAGCAGCCCAGGAGAGGCAGAGATATGAGGGATTGGTCGATGGACACTGAATGCATTCTTTGGAAAGTGATTCAGTCCCAAAACAGTCCCCCCCCTCCTCCTAAAATACCTAAAATAGGAGCTAGGAGGTCTGCAGGCTCACTCTGGACCCCAGCTGCTTGGAAGGGAAGTCCTAAACTACATTCCTATATACTTAATGATTTCTTACATAATATAGTTTGGAAGATATGCTCATTTCCTCCCCTCCCTCCCTCTCCCCCTCTCTCTCTTTCTTTCCTTCTCTCCCTCTCTCTCTCCTCCTTTGCTTTTGCTTTCTCTCCCTCGCTCTCCCTTTCTCCCTTTCTCTCTCTCTTTCTCTTTTTCCCTCCCTCCCTCCCTCCCTTCCTCCCTCCCCCTCTCTTTCTTCCTCTCCATTTCTTTTTTTTCTTTTCTTTTCTCTTCTTTTCTTTTTTCTTTTCTTTCTTTTTGTCTTTCTTTATTGGGAAGAAAAATCAGTGCTGCCCCTCACTGGATAGAAATAGGTAGCTAAAGAACACATTGGCCAAAATAATGTCAGCTCGGGGCGCCTGGGTGGCTCAGTCGTTAAGCATCTGCCTGCCTTCGGCTCAGGTCATGATCCCACGGTCCTGGGATCTAGCCCCGCGTTGGGCTCTCTGCTCGGCAGGGAGCCTGCTTCTCCCTCTCCCACTCCCCCTGCTTGTGTTCCCTCTCTCGCCGTGTTTCTCTCTGTCAAATAAATAAATAAAATCTTTAAAAAAAAAATAATGTCGGCTCAGAGCCTGGTTTTTCTCCTCTCAGCCATCTTCCATTTGTGTACTGTATTGCTAGGGTGCTGTTCCTTTTTGCTATAAAGAAATTAGATCTGGTTTTCTAAAGATGCCTTTATTTAGGCTAATTCTCTGACCCAAAGATTGGAAATCAGAGGGATGTAACCGTTCAAAAGGATGTCTTCTGTATATGACTGTATATGGGGGTGAACAATGTCAGTAATTTCTCCAACAGATACAATTTTTGGAGGATTTGCTTAGCTTGTATTACAGAGTTTTGAGAGGAAATCTAGTTGCCTGTAACATGGAAAAATGCATATGATAAATGTACAAGATCTAAGTATTATTTAAATGCACCAAAATTTTATGGTGATGGAAGGCATTTCAAATAGTTGTATTTCCCTATCCATGGGAACAATGCATCTGCTGTATTTTTTTGACCTTTGAGATCAGCAAGGTTACAGCCTTGTGTGGGTTCACCAGATAAAGAATTCACTCTGTCCTGGGTCTGGTTTGCTACCTGTTACTTCCTTTTCTGGAAGCTCTAGGCAACACCCTGCCAGAGCATTTGCTTTCTCTATGTGCCATGTGAGGTATTTGTTTCCTCCTTTGGTGGCTGATGACTGAGAGCCTCTTTGCACATTTGCTCTGGTGGTAGGACTCTTAGCAAACCCAAGCTGCTGTGGTTTGCACTGAGAAGCCTGCGCATGTGGCCGCTGTAAAAGACAGGCAGCGGCAACTTCCTTGTTCTGTAAAAAGTCACATAGGTAGGGTTGTGGGCCTTGATAGTACATTTTCTGGGGGCAGTGACAAACCCCTGAAGTGTTCACAGAGAGAAAGGAAAGGGTCTCGCTTAGTGTTAAAACTAGAATTATACACATCTTTTCCTTTTCTTTGTGGCACAGAGATACATAAGAGAGGGGACTCTTCATGACAAGCCGTAACTGGAAATTAAGAACACTGGTCTGTGGTTTCTATCTGTGTTATTGGTGGTGGTGGTGGTGGTGTGTGTGTGTGTGTGTGTGTGTTTTGAGAGCCTTGAACATTCATTTGAGGCTGTACATTTTGTGGCTTGTCTGGGCTAAAAGTAATTCATGTCCTAGTGATGAGTCCTTCTTTTAGCTAAAAGTGAAGCCTGTTCCATAATTGCCAGATACTATAAAGATAGCACAAATCTTAGAAAAGCATTTTGTGGTATAGTGGAGAGTTAGATATCTGTGAAATTATATCTGTGAAAAATATCTGTGGTAAGACCTTGTCAGGAGAGTAGTTTTGGTGTTTGTTGTGAAGCGGTTTTCTATGAAACATTTTCTTTCCCTTGTTTCCCTATGGCAGAATTGATAGTTGTAGGTTGTAGGTTACCTTCTTGGCATTTGTTTTTTATAGTCCTTAAGCTCCTTTTTCCCTAAAAAGTATTATAGTTTCTGCCACTGGTGGATTCTCCTCACTAACTCACTGCTAAATTATTTGTAATCAGTATCACTATCCTTCAGTGTAGAGATTCTGGAAATCCCCACTGACATCCTTTCTTGCCAAATTTGTCTCTGGTTGCCTGCCCACAATATTTTTTCCCCTAATCTGGCCAGTCATCTCTGACTTACTTTAGCACATGCAGCATTTCAGAGTTTGACATAGTAGCATGCTGCACAGATTTGAAAAGAAGCTTTCTAGTAGAACAGTGACCATAAGTCACCTCAAAGAACAGTTGAAGTTCTTTGGATGTGGGAAGAAGCCTCTGGAGAGCTAGAATTTTCCCCCTGGGCTGTAAGTGGTTTGGGGCTAATCAGAACCTTGTTAGCATCATAAAGAGTTTTATACACACTTCTAGTTCTCCAAGATTCGTTGACAAGGTGGTTTTAAGAGCTCAACCCTCAAAGATATCTATAAAACTTTTCAGATATAACCTCACACTCTACTCTTCAAAAACACTTTTTGGAATTTTAGTATGTATATATTCATTCAATTATTAATAGGAAAACATATCTGATCCTTGGTTGTTGTTTTGTAGTTAAGAGGATATAAAAACCAATGAATGTTTTTTGAGCACGTGCTAGATGACAGACCAGACATAAGTACTTTATTTAGCCCATACTGGTGCCAATGAGAGCAAAACCAGATAGTCACTGAGATTGTCAAAACCCTGTGGAGAGGGAGGCTGGCTGATCAAGTAATTAACCACAAGCTTGGGTCAAGGCATAGAAGAACGTGACAGCTGTAGCCTGGGTACTGGCAGCATCTCTTGCACATGCAATCCAAATCAGTGATTTTCCCTTGTTTCTATTGGTTACTTTATTTTTTAATTTTAATTTTTAATTTTAGAGATTTTATTTATTTATTTGAGAGTGAGAGCGAGAGTGAGAGCAAGAGAGAGAGAGAGAGCTCACACATGAACAGGGGGCAGGGGGAGAGGGAGCAGACTCCCCGCTGAGCAGGGAGCCCGATGTGGGGCTCAATCCCAGGACCCTGAGATCATGACCTGAGTGGAAGGCAGACACTTAACCTACTGAGTCATCCAGGCGCCCGTCCATTGGTTACTTTATATCTTGGTGCTTCCTTATCTCTTTTCTGAGCCAGATTTCCTTTGTTTGTGACTATGATGCTCCCATACGTTCCCACCTTTTTTTTTTTTTTTCCAGGATCCTGATGTCTCTGTCTTTCTCCAGGTAGCCTGATTATATTCTTGATTATTCTTTTTTGTTTTTGGAATTTATACTTGTGAGGTCTCAACTTTGGGTTAGGCTGACTGTTCAGAGACAAATACTGATTCTCTTGATTCTCTTTGGCTTCTTGTCGTCTCTACTTGCCACCATCCCAAACCACCACCTCTGTATTAAACTTGGGCTGCAGTTGTACAAGAGTTTTGCTGTCTGTCGGTGGCCATGAATGTAAGCTTTATTTTAAGTTTAAAGAAACGTTGAAAATAAACTTTTTTTTTTTTTTGCAAATTCTATCAAACACTTAAACATTCGGGAATGTTAACATTAATTCTTAATTCAAAATAATGACATTTATAGGATACATCCTGGTATTGGGAAATACGAGGTTTACTTAAATCTGGTATTTTATATATGCTTGATCATTAATCCTTCCTAAAATTCAGTGACCATATTGATTCAACTTTATAAGGTTAAGCAAGTTTTCTAGATAATACCCCAGATAACTTTTTTTTCAAATATAAAATACTTAAACCAACAAGGAAATTATAAAAAAACATATAAATTATGCTTTAGGTCTTGATTAAAGGGCTATTTGAATATAGATAGAAGACAGCTTTGCTGTCGGCTGATAAGGCCTGAGATGATATAGACCTAGCAAGGGTGTTTGCATTCTATCAGTGACTTCTGAACACCCAAAGCACAAGGTTCAAAGGTTGGCCTTTGAACTGTTCACTGTTCTGTCATATTTTAGAACTGCGTTTCCTTGAATCATAGCAGGTAACCTGGGCTTGGTCTTGACTCAGAGTTGTTCAGAAAGGTTAAAGAAAAACAACTATTTTTTTTTTTTTTTTTTTGCTCATGGAAATGCCTGTCGCAGATCTGACCAGTAGCCATACCAAGTAACTCATAATAAAATGCATGAGATAACTTACTATAAAATGCAGGGGTTATACTCATAATAAACTTGATCTAAGAATATAAACATAGGGGGCACCTGGGTGGCTCAGTCGTTAAGCGTCTGCCTTCGGCTCAGGTCATGATCCCAGTGTCCTGGGATCGAGCCCCGCATGGAGCTCCCTGCTCCGCGGGAAGCCTGCTTCTCCCTCTCCCCTCCCCCTGCTTGTATTCCCTCTCTCACTCTGTCTCTCTCTGTCAAATAAATAAATAAAATCTTTAAAAAAAAAAAAAAGAATATAAACATAGTTCAGCCTGCTTATGTTCATCCTACTGGGCTCTTTTTGGGGTCTAAGGTCAGTGATGGCTTTTTGGCTTTTAGAATTTGATGTCTGGTTTTAGGGAAGAATATGGAATATGATTTTGGTGCAGGGCAACTGGCCAGAATAGTTTGTTTTCTATTTTAAGTCCAAATATGAAGATAAGATTAAATACATTTCCTTGCCATTGTGCCATGCTTAACTTTTAAGCTCCGTATTATGTATATAAAAAAATTATGCTTTCTACTCTACCAACTTCCAAAAAAATTTGAAGAAGAATACAGGAGTTTTATCCATTCAAAGTCTCATGTTGACCCTGGTGCCCTGAGAGTTTCCTTGAAGAGAAAGGCAGGTTATGTACCAGACCATTTCTTTTTCTAATACCACCTTATATAAGGAATATTGAAATGTTTGTCACTTTATTTTTCCATGGAATTGTGCCAAACCCCATCTACTCTATCCAAGTAGGGGAACTAGATTTCCTCACTTTATACTACCTCATTAACTATATATGTATGTGCACGTGTTTCCAGTCTCACAAATGCGAACTTTTCTATTTTGCTTTCTAACACAACAGAACCGTGAAGATCAATGATTCTTGTGACAGTTCCTGGCTTTTTTGTTCTTTTAGCTCTTTGCTACTCAACGGATAGAATGGGTATCAATGTGAGTGTCCATATCTTTCTGTGGTTTCATGTTTTATAGGTTGGCATAGTTTATTAATTTTTGTTGGCTACTTTCAGAATGGTCATTTTAAGCTCCAAAGGCCCAAATGTCTAGCCCTTTATTGACACATTTTGGGGACTAGAGGTGTGCTGAATAAGCTGACACCAGTGTCCTGCTAGAAGTGTCCTGTCCAAAAGCCACCCACTCCTGGGCTCTGGAACATTAGGCTCTTATTATTACCCTTTCCTTAGGGCAGTAGAAGACTTGGGTTACAATTCCGAGCTAAAATTTCTACTTTGGGAATTTTGTGCACATTCAGGCATGCGAACTTGTATTCACATAGTACCTGTCTACCACGTGGCAGCTTCAAAGCTTTGGCTTTGCATAAATCCCTGTTGGAGCATTTAAGGTGTACCTCACCTGTGTAGCAATACATACTCTTCTCCTAACATGTTTCCTCCTTTGCCTACAAAATTCCCAGCTTCCATGTGGCAGTTCATGCCTGTCTTAGTCTGGTAGAGCTGTAAATGTTGCTTACCCTTAAATACCTGATGGTCAAAACAAACAACTCTTTTTTTTTTTTTTTTAAAGATTTTATTTATTTATTTGACAGAGACAGAGATAGCGAGAGCGGGAACACAAGCAGCAGGAGTGGGAGAGGGAGAAGCAGGCTTCCCCCCGGGGGAGGGAGCCCGATGTGGGACTCGATCCCAGGACCCTGGGATCATGACCTGAGCCGAAGGCAGATGCTTAACGACTGAGCCACCCAGGCGCCCAAGATTTTATTTATTTATTTGACAGAGAGAGAGATAGCGAGAGCACGAACACAAGCAGGGGGAGTGGGAGAGGGAGAAGCAGGCTCCCCGCTGAGCAAGGAGCCTGATGTAGGACTCCATCCCAGGACCCTGGGATCATGACCTGAGCCGAAGGCAGACGCTTAACGACTGAGCCACCCAGGCGCCCCCAAACAACTCTTTTTGTTTAGCTAAAGCTTCTCCTTTTTTTACATTTTGCCCCCTGAAGTCCTATCTTAACCCTTTTTTCACCTTAGAGATCCCCACATATACCTTAAAGGAGAAATTTGGGCAGAATATCATTCCTAAAACCTTGCTAAAGGCATGGCAAGATAAAAAACATGAGTTGCATTTCTCTGGCCCTGTTGTCCATTGACCCATAGAAGTGTTGCTCTGTGCCTCATAATCCTTTGGCCCTGGAACTCTACAACAAACATTGCCTTTACGTTTTATCGGTTTTCCAAATGTTGCAGAATTTGACCTCAGCTTTGCCATCACTGGGGAAGTAAATTGAATAAAAACATTTCACATCAGGAGTCTACTAAAAATTGTTAGCTCTCTAAATGCAGGTTCATCTCTTTGGTTCCATACTGTGATTGCTCTAACAAACACAAAAATCACAACAAAATACAAGAAATAACTTCCCTGCTTTATTTCACGTAGACACACTTGTTGAAATCTGCTCAGGTCTCTGTACAGGCAGCACTGTATTTGGGAGCCAGTATCGCTTACTATTTTTTCAGTACTAAATGTAATTTTATTCTCAAGAATAAACAATTAAAATTATTTGTGTATATGTACGTATATATCACATATATAACATATACATGTAAGTAATGCATATAATTACATATGGAATTGTCATGAGCATCCTCTCTAATATTTGTGAAACATCTATCATATGCATAGTGATAGGCATTTAGGCATGGTGGGGAATGCAACAAATTATATAAATCGGTAGTGTGTCCTCAAGGGCCTTGACTTTGCAGTTAGGCAGACAGATACATTATTTATGAAGATGTAAATAACTATCCAGATAGGATACTGAGAGTACCAAATGTCTGGAAAAGGCTGCAAGTGCTCCTGGAATTCATGCCATGCCTGTGGAGGTCAGTGCTGTCAAGGTCCTGCAAAGAAGCCAGTCCGATTGTCTCTGAAACGGAATGATTGAAGGGTGGGGCATGGTGGTGGCAGAGGAAAATCCTGAAGCACAGAGGTCTGAGTTAGGTGGATGAATGGGAAGATGACTGTCTGCGATGTTCTTTTCTTTCCAGAGAAGCAAGAAGAAGATGGATGACATAGATGAAAGAGAAGCAGCATAGGAAGAGAACTTCTAGCCTTGACCACGAGTTGTGTGACCTCAGGTAGGTCCCTTACAGTCTTGTTATTCAGTTGCTGTATTTTTAAATGAAGGCTGGTCCACTCTGAAATAAGGACACATTTTTGAGACAAAAGGTTAGCTGAAAAAGTCTAAGCAATTTGTTTATGAGACAGGAACTATATAGATTACTTGCTGCTCAGTAGTAAAATCATCAAACATCATCATTCTAAGGTACTGTCAGTTTATAATCATGATTGGAGGATAGCTTTGGTAAAGGGCTGAGAAATGTTTTGAGAAACACGGTGAAATGGAATGCATAAAACTAGGTAAAATTAATGACAACAGGTCTTAGGTAGTCGCAGAAATATTTGAGGGTTTAATCAATGAAGTGACAGGATCTAAAGTTTAAATTTATAATTTAGTTATCTTCTGAAGGTACAAAGCTCATGTTCTTATTATGATACAGTGAGTTCCCTAGCCTGTAGCTTGTAAGCTAAGCAACATCCTGGGTTTTCAGTTACACGAGAGATTTGAGTGTGTTAGATTTCAGTAATGACAGCTCATTAAACATCCCTGATTCCCCCCGAGTGAGCTAGAGTCCCATTCAAAATAGGCTGCAGTGAGTGAGGCTTGAAGAAAACAGAAGTGTACAGCAGTGGTCCCAGCAGAAGTGAAAGCAGGCAGTGCACACCCACAGCAGTTTATAGCTTATGGAGAATGAGGAGTGATCTGAAAATACACCTGAGAGGAAATGGGTATGTGAGAAGAGCCTTGGAGGAGAGACAGATATGAATCATGCCCATAATTCAGCTCAGTGGGAACTTGAAAAATATGACAGACAAAACTCAAGGATCTCAATTCTGCTTTAAAGGTAAAGGGAAGTAGAACAAGGATTATGGCACTGGGAACAGTATGACTAAATGATCAATTCTCACCTTCAGTTCGCACGAAAGAGTTTACCTTGCTTCCCATCACTACCCCCACCCCCACATGCACATATTCTAGGTAAATTGAATGAAATTTTTTTTGCTTTTTATTATGGAGCTCAGTTGTCCCAGGCCAAGAAAATAACCTACCCTAAAGTTGTTGTTAAATGCACAAGAAGGGATGTAAATATGAAGTTAGGTCTAAACTCTCCACTAGTTAGAGAATCCAAATGAAAATAACATTGAAATCATCCTTTTGCCTATGAGATGGGGGAAAATAATCATGTGTCATATGGTGTTGGTGCCCTGCTGATATCCCTTTGGGTGACCCCAGAGTTTGCCTGCAAACACTTCTTAGACATGCCAACATTTTCCTCTGTCTTTCTTGGAGGGCATTCCCTGGATACAGGAGCACGCACAGGTCAGATGGAGAGTAAATGAAAGATAGTGCCTTGGAGTGACCCTCCCTCAACCACTGAGGGTTAAGCCATTGAGGGATAAATACTCCCTTGCCTTTTTTTTTGAGATAATTCTAAGTTGTGTTCTATGCATCCTCTGTGAAGGTCTCCTGAATGATTGAGACCCAGTTGCTCATACAATAAGGTGATCAACTCATTCCAGATTTTTTGGGGACTGTCCCAATTTTAGCATAGAAAAGTCCTGTGTCATGTGAACCTTCTTAATTCCACATAAACTCAGACAGTTCACCACTCTACCATACAGGTAGCTGGCTAGTCTGTGTATCCTTTATTGGTCTCTTCCCTTCCTTATCTCACTTCGCCACTCTCTCACAGTGATTCCTGGCATTGTCTTCTAACTACTGCATACTTAGAATTATGAATTTTTTTCCTAATGCCTTTTATCTGCACTAATTTCTAAGCTGTTAGGGTAGGAACCCTGTTTTGCTCAGTACAGTCTGTCCACAGACTCTAACACAGTGCATGAAGCACAGTTCATACTCAATAAGTATTGGCTGAATGAATGGACCCTGTATCATTAACCAAGTGATTTAATAGACATTATTTGCTGCTGCATGTCAGTGCCAGCTTATTTGTTCCTCCTGAGTTTCCAGAGATACCTGCCAGTCACATTGATCAGGCTGTCGGTGATTAGGAATAATTTTACGGAAGTGATGTATTATTCAAGTCTTCTACATCTTTTAGTCATCATGCTATTATTTTTTTAAGATTTACTTAAGAGAGAAAGAGAGCATGTGTGAGCTGAGGGAGGAGCGGGGCGGGGAGGGAGGGAGTGGGGGAGATAATCTCAAGCAGACTCGACACTGAAAGTGGAGCCCAATGCAGGGCTCACTCAGTCACCATGACTCTGAGATCATGCATGACCTGAGCCAAAACCAAGAATTGGACAGATGCTTAACCAACTGAGCCACCCAGCTGCCCCAGTCATCATGCTATTATGCATCCCAATACAAAAGTTTAAGAAAATACAAATGGAATAATGACAAAAATCAACATGTAAGTAGTCGTTATCTATCTAACACATCTATCTATGTGTTCTCATTTAATCCTTGGAGTAACCTTGCCATTTAATATAAGTATTCCCAGTTTACAGAAAGTTAAAACTTAGGATTCTTTGCTCACAATAACACACCCAAGCAAGGGCCATGTTTTTCACCACCAACCCCCTTTCTTTCTTACTACATTATGGGATTCACTGTAACGAGCCTGCAGGTAATCTCCCAAACCCACGCACGCTCATAGAATCCTATGGAAAGCAAATTCTGCAGCCAAAAATCACGGGTCACAATGGGTTGGCTCTTCTTGGTAGTTAGTTTTTCACTGCATTAAAAAAAAATCTCTTCAGTCCCACTGCCAGTAATGTCTTTTGCCATAGTTTTCCTCTCAAACACTTGAAAGAGTTCAAATGTTTGTCATTTAACATCATTTAATTTCCTGAATAAAGAAACAAAACAAAACAAAACAAAACAAAATTCTGGAGGCTTAGGCATATGTTTATCATTGATTTTAATTTCCTGTTTATCCTTGTAATTATGATTTTCTTTAGTTTGCTTATGAAAACCATAATGAGTATTTGAAGTATATTTTCTGTCCATGCGACATTTTTCATCTTAAAAGAGCAAGCAATCATATATAAGACAAAAGTGTCAACAGATAATTGTTCTTCTTAATTACTGTTTAGATCACTTGTGAGCTTAAATCTGGTTACAACCCATCTTTTATACTAGTGTATGTCAGATAAGAGATTATGTAGCTAAAATCCTCTGAATTCTCTTGCAGCCAGTACTGATGGTGGAGTTTAAGAAAAAATGATGAAGAATGTTTCAGATGTTCATTTCCAAATGCATTGCATTTCTTTTTCAATTTTAAGGGTAATGTGCAGTCATTAGAAAAATATAGAGGCATTTCCCTTCTGTACCACCTTGACCACCACTTTTACCTCTAAGTCATCTCCCTCCCCAGTAGTAACCATGCTAATAGTCTGAGGGGGGTGTGTGTGTGTGTGTGTGTGTGTGTGTGTGTGTGTATTTCCAGATAGAAAGAGAAAAATAACAGATATAGAACACAATACATATGTCTTTTAAATTTGATTTTCTTTGCTTATTGGTATATCATAAACATCTTTCCTTAGCAGTAAATATAGACCAAACTCATGCTTAATAGTTTCGTTGTGTTTTATAGAATGCTTACACTGTAACTTAATTATTATTCTAATGACAGATTTTTTTTTAAGATTTTATTTATTTGAGAGAGAGAATGAGAGAGAGATAGCATAAGAGCGGGGAGGGTCAGAGGGAGAAGCAGACTCTCCACTGAGTGGGGAGCCCGATGCGGGACCCGATCCCAGGACTCCAGGATCATGACCTAAGCCGAAGGCAGTTGCTTAACCAACTGAGCCACCCAGGCACCCCTCTAATGACAGATATTTTGACTGATATATTAACAGATATCTCCAGTATTTCTCCATTATATAGTATTCCACAGACAACACCTCATATTTATCTTTGTGCTTCTGTGTGCATTACTATGGGAGAGAGTCTTAGAAGATGAATACCTGGTTCAAAGGGTATGCCCTTTTAAACTTTTGACAGCCTGTTCAATTACCTTTCAAAGTCTGTGAAAATATATGTTCCTACCACATACTGTGTGGGTCTGATTACTTCCTTACACCCTCACAGGCATAAATATTATGAACTGGATTTGCTTGGATTCCTATAAAAGCAGACCCTGAGACAAATATGTGCAGATGAACAAAACCCCAACAACTGAAACACTGAAAAAAAGTAATTCATAATTTCAAGTGGAGTGTGGATAGTTGGAATTCATTGGTTCTTTTTCTACCACAAGCCTTTTGATTGTATCTTTAAACCATGAAGTTTATTCAGACCCTAAAATTAGCAAAGCTTTCTTCTTGCTCTACAGTTCTATGAGTGATTGCCTCCAACTTTGGGCTGTCAGAGAATGTTTCATGGAGCAGTACTTTTGAATTGATCTTTGAAGCATGGTTAAGATTTCTCTTGGGAGAGAAGAGGGCCATGACTTTTGCAGGCTGTGAGAAGTATGCAGTTTCTCTGGCAAGTAGTCAGGGGTGAAGGATGAAAGGGATATTGAAACTGAAAGTTCACAGTCGCATATTGTCACTAGCCACATTTTCTGTTTCAGTGCCAGCTTTCACCCTCTCTTCCTACCACTGACTGAAGGTGGAGACACTGGAAAAGCTGATTCTGCTTATTCTTGGGTGGCTTCTTATAAGATGCTGTGAATGAAGATCAATTGATAGGTCCTTCTAACCCTCCAAATCTGGCCTCAAATTTGTTGCAATGCCTGAAATTCTCATTGTTAGGATTATGTTTTCAATTTAAGACATAGAGGGCACCCTTGTAAAGATATTCATAAAATTGGTAATGATAGTTGGGTTAGTGACAAAGACAACACCACTTTACTATGAATTCACCCAGTGGGGTTAAGTTAGATTATAGATATTTCTTAGATGTCAAAGAGGAAAGGGGGAATGGGCTGAAGCAGTGGTCCTTGGCCTGGAATTCCTGAACTCATTGGAGTCTAAGAACTTTTAGGATCCATTGGTATGATGATGATGATGTCAGTGATTTCAGTAGCAGTAAAAGCAACAACGAAATGACAACAAAAAAAGTTAGAATTCATTGAGTGCTTACATTGGTCCTTTGTTTTACATACATTAATTCATTTCATTCTCACTACACCTCATAGAGTTGATTATATTATTCTTATTTTATAGATGAGGGAACTGAGACTTGAATAGGTAAAGTCATTTGTTGAAGATCACCAGCTCGTAAGTGGCAGAATTAGGGTCTGAACTCTGTTAGCATGACTCCAAAACCCATGACTTTAAGATACCAGGTCACCAAAGTGACAACCAAAACAAACATTACTTGACATCACATCTTTATGTACATTCAAGCCTAGGTACAGAGGAGGATCAGTCCAAATAAGGAGAAGATACTGGCAGAACCATGACTCTGGTCCCCTTCTGTGGCCACTTTCAGTTGTGGGAGTTATGGGTACCTGGGAGCACTCTGGCTCTATCCCAGCTTTTTTTCTCTTGGGAGTTCCCATGGTGGGTTATGATCTGCAGTGATTTTCTCCTGGTTGTGTGTTTCCTATTCATTAGTGCTGGTGAAATCTTGCCCATCTTTCCTATGTATTGTTATGTCTAAACAACAAGACAGAGGAAAAGACTCAGAAATGATGCTAACTAAGGCAAAATTACTTTCAGCAGTTAGAAGCAGGTTGAGATTACCATGCTGGATTATTGCTCTAGTACTGTGGTTCTTCACCATGGATGATTTTATCCCCCAGGGACAGTATCTGGAGATATTTTGATAGTCCCAAATGGGGATGGGGAGTGCTTCTGGCATCAAGTGGGTAGAACCAGGGATGCTACAAAATATCCTACAATGCACAGAGCAGCCTCCACAACAAAAAATTGTCTGACCCAAAAGGTCAATAGTGCCAAGGTTGAGAAACCCTGTACTAATAAAACACATGGGGAACTAATGTAATTTTTACAACATTTTCTATATGGCAATCAGAGGAACATGAATATATTTTCATGTCCCCCTCTCAAAGTTATTATTCATTCTTGCACAACAGGTCATGCCAATTATATGTGAAAATGTGGTTCACTCACACTGAAGGACCTTCTCCTCTTCCCCCTCCTCTTCTCCATTTCATCTTCCCCTCCTTGTCCTCCTCCTCCTTCTGCTAGTCCTCCTTATTCTTCCTTCTCCTCCTCCTCCTCCTCTTACCTGCACGGGCTGCATATGTTTCCTGGGAAAAAAGATACGGGATTCAGGGTTTCTCTTATGCTGAGTTTAAGAATAGCAGGAGTGTATTTAAGAGCCAGTCCCCCCTGCCCCTCCAGGTAGCATCTAGTTAAATGGAATCCAGTTACTTCCAAATTAATTTGGCACTGACTTTCTCGTAGCTTGTTTACCTGTGTGAGGGCATAAACAATGATTGGCAAGAACAGGATAAACAGATGGAAGCAGTGTTGGGGTCATGTGGCCAACATGTGACAGCAGTTCTCCAGTGACATCAAGAGTTCTTGGAAAAGATGCTCTTTCCTCTCATAAGATCACAATGGGATCAGATGATAAATCTTTCCGGGCAGTCTCCTTGTCTTCCCTGTTTTTAGAAAGTCCAGCTCTTTAAAAAAACCCTGAAAGAAATCCTGATACTTTATTCTTGTAATCCTTCCAGAGGAAATATCTATAATTTCCGTTCTTTACTATAATTAGCCAAGTAACATAATGTTCAGTTAGCCTGTCTTATCTATATGTCTTTGTTGGAATTTGAAGTGGTCCAGTCTAGTAAAAATAGAAAATTGTTCCTTTATTATCTCTATCTATAATCTATATATACAGTACTTGGAAAAAAAATGAAATCCTATCTCTGTTTTTCTAAGTAACTCACATTCTTTAGCCCTTGCCTGTGGGCCCTATTTCCAACCCTTTAATCATACATCTATGATATTCCTGGAATATTTGTTATAAATACAAATTCTTGGGCCTTACTCCTCAAGCATCCTCTGAGATGCTTGAGGGATAGAATTCTGGGAATATGTAGTTTTCACAGTATTCCAGGTGATTTTTATGCCCTGAAAATTTTGAGGACCACCAGAATAACGAGATTGGCCTTCTTTCAATGTGAGTGTTTCTAGCTGCTTCGGGGAGTAGCTTCACTTTTCACGTTAGCTGGTTGTCTTACCCAAGCAGGCATATGTTCTCCTTGGTCTTTGGTTATCCACAGAAAACATGCAGAGTAGTAATCTTATCAGCATGTGACAAGAGCCTTCAGAGAATTTGGATGCATAGTGTTGTTACTGAAAGAGCACCTACCTCTTTGGAATATGTATTTTTTCTTCTCGGAAAAAAATAGCTGAAAGTAAACACCTCTATCTCCATTTGGAACCGGATCAGTTCAGTTAGTCTTTGCCTCATAACTGGGCATTTGTCTTATTATAATAGCAAACACACTCCTAATATTGGAGTGTATTTTATGGTATTTAGGTAGCCACAATCTGTGCCTTATTTTATTTCTTAACTGTGACAATTCTTAAAAGAGAGCCAGATTTTTAAAAGGTGCCCATTTGTAAAGTGTTTGCTTCAAGTCAGTTCTCTTTTGGGCATGATATTCTGTATATTTTCTAGCATTGCTGGAGCTAAAAATGGAAAGGTTGAGGTGTGGAAGAAACAGGGTAGATTCATAGGCCATCAAATGATCCTTCAGCTTTCTGCATAGGAGGGCCCAAAAAGAATGCCTCAGAGTGGCGGTCAGTTGGACCATTTCCACCAACACTGTATATTTTCGTGATGCTACAGTCTTGGTTTAGAGAAACCTGAGATTTGATGGCTTTAATTTCTATATTCTAAGTACCAATAATTCAAGCTACAATATTCTGGGGATCTTTATCCAACCTGGTATGAAGTTTCAAGATCATGGTGTATTGGGGCTCTAAGCTGTATTGATTAAAGATCCTGATAAAAGGTACCCAAGAAGTCAGGAAAGATGACTCTACTTCCTGTTATGTTTTTTCTCAATTAAAATGACTTTTTTTTAGGTTTGTTTTTACTTGGAGCATTATCTTTGGCTTGATAGTTTGAAGATCTAAATAATTCTTCTTTTTTAAAAAATATTTTATTTATTTGACAGAGACAGACACAGCAAGAGAGGGAACACAAGCAGGGGGAGTGGGAGAGGGAGAAGCAGGCTTCCTGCCGAGCAGGGAGACCGATGCGGGGCTTGATCCCAGGACCCTGGGATCATGACCTGAGCTGAAGGCAGATGCTTAACGACTGAGCCACCCAGGTGCCCCAAGATCTAAATAATTCTTGTATATTGAACATAATATGTGCATTCTGAACATACAGCAAGGAACCATTAAAGCACCTTGTAGGGATTCTGCCCTATAGATTCAGGCAGGGCTAGTTTATTGTCCAGGCACTAATGAGTACAGAAGAAAATCAAGTCTGCATGGCCAGCAAGGACTCAGGGGCCCATTCTCAGAGTGGAATGGTTTCAAGTGATCTTTAAGTAAGTGATCACTTAACTTAAGTGATCTTCCCCACTTACTGGGGAACCTTGCTCCCTCAGCCAGGCTGCATGGGGCAGGGCCCTGAAGACACACTGTCCATGTTCCTGCTAGATGATGTTGGAAGTCAGGGCTCAGTGTGGAATCTGCTTTTCAAAAGAAGTGCTAGAATGGGAACTAACTTACTTAGAGCCTAACTTATGAGGGAAACAGAGGCATAACCCTTCCAGATGTTTCACCACAGGTGAGAGGGGATGTTCAGAGAGACCCCATAGGACCACTATGGGGCATTCTGGAATAGATGAGCTAAATATACATATATGTCAATACTTGAATTCATTTAAGCAGGAGCCTAGTAAGAAGGACAATAAAATATTAAAAACACTATACTATGCTGACCACACTCTCTCTTCAAGCCCGTGATGGCCACTGGCACTACATTTCCCTACGCTGTGAACACCCTATGCTCATCATGGCCAAAGTTATTGAAATCTTACCATATGGTAGCCTTTGTTAAGCCTCACAACAATCCCTAGTCATAGGTTTCTGCTGTCTTTCCTCTTTTACAGATAGGAAATTGAAGATAAGCAATATTAACTCTTCTAAGATCACATAGCCCACAGTGGTGGGCCTGATTCTGACCCAGGCTGTCCAGTGTTAGAGGTTATACTCCTAACTACAATATATGCAGTCTCCTTAGGGAGAAGAACTGGGGAAACATGCAAGCAAATAAATGTGAGTAGATCTAAATTGTTTTTGTAGGGGATTAGTTAAGAAATGTTAATTATTTAAGATGCTCAGGGCTCTAAAAGCTGAGGAACCCTTCCAGAAGCTTTTATTTGCAGCTAGGGATAGTAATTGCCGAATGCTCCCCATTCCTTTAGTTTTCCAGAGCTAAACAGGCAACATTTATTTATTTGATTCTCAGAAGGTTAGAATGACCCAAGACATTTTGTTATTCCATATTACTTGGCATTTTGCCAAGTCCCACCTAATCTTTGTGTATACTGTGTTGGCTCTGGCTGGGTATTGTCTGTTGAGGTAAGAAATGGGGTGGGGACAAATATACTTTATTACTGAGATGTCCTAATGCCTATGCAGGGGAGCGTCATCTCTGATGATATCATGCCTACTTTCCTCAGTGGATGCCCCAGTATTCTTCAGAATCAGGACTCCATGTATTCTTTCCCTCATATTTTGCATACTTGTCATTGGTTCTGGACAGGTGTTTGCCTTTCCTTGATCATATATTTCCTGTTTAGCTATGATAAAATTACTGCTTGCATTTCCTCTTCAGACCCTGAAGCTTAAAATTAGTCTGTTAGAACAGTGTCTACATTTCCTGTTTGTTTGTTTTTCTCCTTAAATCAACTCTGTATAATTATACATTTAGCCTTTGCCCAGTAGTTAGGGTTGTGTGACATCTACCCCAGCTAAACAGGGATGTTTTTATTCTCCTTTCCTTATCTACCACTTGTTTTCAAAACAGACTTGGTCTGGACTTTCTGAAATTCTAAGCTTGGTAATATATTAAGATTTCATTCATCTTTGAATTCCAGATGCTTCAAACCCTACTTGGCAGGTGCTTAATAAATATTTGTTAAATAAGTGAATGATTTAAGATGGATTAAAGATTAAATTCTTTAGGTAAAGAACTTCATAATTACCTACCAGTGGGGGATTTCTTATTATTCAGTGTTTTGCACTGTCTTGGAGGCCTAGCATAGTGCTACATTCCATGTACTGTTTTATGATGTTGATTTGCACAGGCCTGTATCGTGCAGTAGTGTCTGAGTGGTAATGTTTGGCAAATAGGAGGAATCTTTAATTTGCTTTCAGTGATTCAAATATGTTTCCATAACAACTCTTTTGTTTGCTTCCTTGGTCTATTTTTAGTAATTTTTTTTTTTTTGAGGCTTAATCAGGGACCAGACTGTCACATCTTGCATGTTTAAATTTTTACACAATTTCTCTTTTAGTGCATATCATTTGATCATTTGTCTGTACAAGTGGAAGAGCCAGCTTTATAACTATCTACCTGTAAGCATGTGGACCAATTTTGAATATGTATTTAGGAGGTGCTTCTAACAATAGTAGAATAAATCCCATGTATTTTACTATTTTTGACACTTTTGAGCAGTATTCAGGGAAAAAGTCACAATAGTTTACTAAATTGGTTAATGAATAGTTGATTAAATGTGCAATTTCTAGATACAGTCTAGGAGATCTAAAGTTGAAAAAACAGCAGCAATTCCTTGACTGAATTATCTTTCCTTTCCTTTTCCTTGATTAGAATCTTCTAGACGGCTGTATGTAGGAACTTAGTGTTCTTTCAGTATATATGTAGGATTTATTTGTCCACCGTTCTGCAAACCATTAATTATGAGTTATAAAGATGACAGGCTTGGGTGACAGAAAGGCATTTTGTATCCACTCCAGACATGATCTCAATTATCTTCTACTTCTTTTTGCTAACCTTGTATGAGATGAAAAGTTTGGGACTTTTTTTTTTTTTTTAAAGATTTTTATTTATTTCTTTGACAGAGAGAGACACAGCGAGAGAGGGAACACAAACAGGGGCAGTGGGAGAGGGAGAAGCCGGCTTCCCGCCGAGCAAGGAGCCTGATGCGGGGCTCCATCCCAGGACCCTGGGATCATGACCTGAGCCGAAGGCAGACGCTTAACGACTGAGCCACCCAGGCGCCCCAAGTTTGGGACTTTTTAAGGGTTCCAATAAACAGTTTCCATGCTGATTAGAGTGGAAAGAATATTGTCCTGGGACTCCAGAAACTGGGATTTTAGGTTCTCCTGTCTATGCGAACAATCCATGTGATTTTTAGAAAACTTTTTCACCTCAGACTTCCATTTACTTACCTGTTAAGAAAACATAAAAGTTTAATTAAATGACCTTTCATAATACTTCTAGCATAGACATGCTATGAGTTAAAGCTATTTTATTTATGTCCCTGAGTCTGGAAAGGTATTATCTTCTTGAGCAATGGAAAATGGAGCTACTCTTTAAGTAGCAGAGGTGAACCTGGGGCTGTCCATTGCCTTTAATCCAATCAGGAAACTGTAGACACTGCCTCCTGGGAGCATAAAAGATGAAGTAGCTAATAATGATGTGA